GAATGCCACCTTTATTGTTAATTAAGTGCAAAAGTATACAAAGAAAGAGTTGCATTTCCAATAGGTACCTAAATAAAATTTTAACTACCTTTGTATAAAAGTCCTATTCTTAAGGACATCAACTTATGGCAGCTCTGCGAATACCATCCCCCAAACTGGAATCTGATTATGCACTTCTACTACTATTTAGATCAATCCACTGTGAGCGTATGTATAAACTTTGTGTCTCTTCTTCCGTCTCCCACCCATCCCCAAACAGTTACAGCCAAATTCTTATCTAAGCTTAGCACTATACTTGTGCTTGGTAAGGTGGTCCTCGTGGTATCTTATAGTACTGATTTCTGAGCTATTTTCACACAATTCCCTGCAATTGTATTCAAATTCCGAATTTTGGAGCAGAGTAGAAGTTAGAAGTTAGAGGTTGTTCTTTGTTGTGGTTTATAAGGTCAGTCTCTTTTTTTTTTTTTTTTTTTTTTTTTTTTTTTTTTTTTTTTTTTTTTTTTATTTTATACACTGAGATCCCCTCTCAGCCTTCTCTTTTCCAGGCAAAAAAGTCCCAGCTCTCTCAGCCTTCTTTCCTAAGGGAGATGCTTCAGTCCCTCAGTCATCTTTCTAGTCCACCGCTGGACTCTCCAGCAGTTGCCCATCTTTCTTGAACTGGGGAGCCCGTAACTGGATGCAGTACTCCAGATATGGCCTCACCAAGACAGAGTAGAGGGGGAGGATAACTTCCCTCGGCCTGCTGGCCATGCTCTTTCTAATGCATGCAAGGATACCATTGGCTTTCTTCGCCACAAGGGCACATTGCTGGCTCATGGTCAACTTACTGTCCACCAGGACTCCCAAGTCCCTCTCTGCAGAGCTGCTTTCCAGCAGGTCAACCCCTAAACTGTACTGGTGCATGGAGTTATTCCTCCCTAGGTGCAGGACCCTGTGCTTGCTCTTCTTGAGCTTCATTAGGTTCCTCTCCGCCCAGCTCTCTAGCCTGTCCAGGTCTTGCTGAATGGCAGCACAGCCTTCTGGTGTGTCAGCCACTCCTCCCAATTTTGTGTCATCAGCAAACTTGCTGAGGGTATACTCTGTCCCGTTACCCAGGTCATTGATCAATATGGTGAATAAGACTGGACCCAGTAGTGACCCCTGGGGAGCACCGCTGGTTACAGGCCTCCAACTAGATTCTGTGCCACTGATCACAATGCTCTTGAGACATTTAGCCAGTTCATAATCCACCTCAATGTCATAGAAATAGATTTCAGTAGCTCGAATTGGTAAAAAAGCATGTATAATTTTGGAGTTACTAAAGGACAAGCTTCAGTTACATTGAATTGTGTATTCATTAAATACTGTGATGGTGTCATTTTTGTTACTTATTTCTTTTGCTTTCTTCTCCTGTTTTTAACTTTGGTATTCAGGGAAAAGGCACAGCCAAGGTTTTGGTTCAATTCTATGTTAATTGCATATTCCGGTTAGGCAACAGTCATCCAGTCAGATCTGCTGACTGATGAGTTTGTATAAGTATTTCCTAGATGTTTTCAGTCAAGACAATTTAGGTTGATATAGATATACTATGTAAGCTAAACATGACTTATTTTGACCAAAACAAATGTGTAAAGGGCGTCTTTACACATTTGAGAGAAATAGCAGTGAATGGCTGGGGTCAGAAATTCCTCTTGCGGGCACAAGAGGAAGAGTGTTTCTATGGCTCAAGTGAATTTAAAGTCTGATACAACACAACTGACAGGCAGAGAAGAGGCTGTCAGTCCAGAAAATTGCATGTCTCTGTGTGAAGATCATGGCTGTCATTGCACTTTTTATTTTTCCCTGTACTTACAGTACTGACAAACTTCCCTGCAAGCTCTAGGTACCAAAACTTCTGTGATTACTATATTCAAGCAAATACTTCTTTGTTTTTTCCATATATTAATAATTAAGTGGCCTCACACCTCAATTAATGTGAACTTATAAGACTAGTCATTCAGTGATGTAAATTGGGTGTCACTTGTGAATGTCCATCCTCTGAAAACTTGCCTGAAGGCCCTTTCTTTACAGACTGTTGAGGATGTTAGACAGCATCAGCAAAGAACCTGCCACCGCAGTCTGAGGAGGCACATTCCCATAAAGCATCTAGTTTATTTTTTTATTAATTTTCCATTATTTACATGAATGCATTGAGAAATAATAAATGTTCAGTATTATTGGGTAACTTGTCCTTGGTAGAATGAACCTTTGAGTAAAGGTACTACTTTAAAGTGGTCGCTAGATGGCTTGCTAGCCTAGCATTTTCCTCAAATTTGTACAGTTTAAAGACCTACGGCTTCTGCTTGCTGCTGGCTGTTCTTTTTTTTTAAAAAATCTAAAATGTTGTTTTAAATACCATTTTTATGTCTGCAAGGGAGTCTAGGTTTACTAATCCTACAGATTTTCTAAATGTCTGACGGTGTTGCTAGAACTGTCTTCAAGTTGTTTATACCTTATAATAAGGTAAGTTTTTGACAGAAACTGCAATGTGAAACCTTTGTTTTTTCCATTGTTTTGCCCATTAGTGGGACACTAAAAACAGGATAATATTGTAAGAGACCTTTTTGATAGGCACGTTTATTTTAAGCTTTTGATGGTTTGTAAAATTAGGACATTCTAGCACAGTAAGGAACTAGTCCAGAGGGGCCCTTCTGTGAAGCAGCATAATGTATACTCAGTCATTATACTTTGCTTGTAAGGTCTGCTGTTCTTTACAGCAGGCAGTACACGTATTTGATTCTGAGCTTATTGCTGTGGCAGCAGTCTGCTGCAGCTCTCCTGGGCTGTAATGCTGCTACTGCGACAGAGAAAACAGAAGGCAGGTTTTGCCTAACTCACTATCTAATAAAGTCACCTTCCCAAATGATGTTTGATATGTAGTGGACTGAGCTTTTCCTTATAAAACACAATTTCTAGGTGCTAGTTTAATTTGTTTTCCTTTTATTTGTCTTTATGTGGCAGCCAGTGAGATTCACCATGTCTTTACTCCTGCAGTCATTTTATCTCCCACTTGCTTTCATCATGCTGCTCCCTTTGTTTGATTTTCCATGGAAGTAGTGCCTAATGTCTGATAAATGCTTGAATAAATGCTTTAAAATGGTTGGGCAAACTTTGAGTTTCGTACCGGCATACCTGTTTAATCTGGGCTGCATATGCTGGAAAAATAAGGATAACATCTTTATTCTTGTTATAGGTCTCTATATACTTTGCTGTAAGGGTGAGCTTTTTTTCTCAAAAAGTAAAGTGTTACTTTACAAAAGTTATCAAAACTCTGAAAAAACTGTTTTAAAAAGAACTGTCATCTGCCTTTCACTGATTTTCTGCTACTGAATATCACTGGAAGATTTAACAGTTTTGATGTTTTACACCATCCTTTGTCGGAGGAGGCTCTTTAAAGCTTTATTATTATGTCCTTCTCCCTTTTTAAAATTTTTTTAATTATGTTTTTGTCCCTATATACCTATCTTATGAGAAGTTTAAGGTCTTGAGCATCATGGAGTGAGAATGTCTTGTTTAAAACACATAGAAGAAAACTGATGTTATTTCAAATAAGAAATTGATATTCTGTGGTATTCTGGTTATAAAACTAGATTTCAGTTCATTGCGTGTATATGTGTACAGATGGCCTCACATTTAAATGTTAGTATATAGATTAGGACACTGGTGTTATTAGCTGTAGGTAATACATCTAATTTGTACTTCTGTATTAATCCCTTTCACTTGAGAAAGATTTTTTTACCTCCATGTTACCACTTCTAATGTATTTTGTATAGTGAATGACTTTAATTTATAAATGCTTAGTCTCTAAAACTTTTTTTACTTCTTTAGCAAGTATAAAGTCATTATAAAGGCATTAGTAGGTCGTAAAAACTGCGCTTAATTCAGTAGTTAAATATTTACTAGGTAAATGTTCTATAGGGTACTTAAGGTTTAGGAAAAAATCTCTTGTCAGAATGTTTCACTTCAGTTACTTAAGCCAGCAGCTTGGCTAGCAATATATCATAATCCTGGAACAGTACTGTTTTTTAAATGAGTAACAATTGCTTAATGAATAAACTGTTGCTACAGAGTATTGCAACATCAGAATTTTACTTCCTGACTATGTGTTCAGTGTCCTAGAAGCATTCTGAGCAAACGTTAAGTTCTGTTTATTCCTTTTATACAGGACATTGTACCAGTGGATGCCTCTTATGAGGTGAAAGAGCTTTATGTGCCAGAAAACAAGCTACAGTTGGCCAAAAGTGATGCTGAGTCTCTGTTAACCTTGGAGATAAACAAGGTATTGTGTGTTCAGTTGTCTCATTACTGAAGCTGAAAGACAGTCCGCTCAGCGGAAGCAGGTATAGTCAAAATACCTGTGCTGGTTACAGAAAGTATCTCAATACAACGTTTCCCTCTTTTCTTGAGAGAAATCACAGTATCTGTGTTTTCTTTGATCACTTAGTAGAAATAACAATTGAATCTTTGTAATTTCATAAATAATGTCTGGTATACTGTTACTTAGTTTATCCCAAGTCTGGAGATCAAATTTGGAGATTAAATTCACAGTGACTCCCTCCCACGCTTTCCCCCCCCTCCCTGTCCATGGACTAAACCATGCCTGGCATGTCTTGTATGTGTAGTTTTTTCTAGAAGAACTACTATTTTCTTTTTTTTTTTTCAGTTTACTTACACAAACCATTTTATTTTTTAATTGTATGACCAACAAATATGAAGGAAATCAGTTACTGCTTCTTGTTTCTCCTTGGTGGTAACCTTCAGCTGAACGATAGTAACCTTACATACCAGGCTCAAACAGTTGTAAATTTAAGTCTACAGAGAGGTCAACAGATCTACTTTATTGTTTGGGTCTTTTCCTTCCGATTAGAACATATTCATGCTAATCTTCTGGCTTCCAGCAGAGAAAATGTGGAAAAGCATGAATCAACTTGATCAACTCTTTTTTTGGTGAAATGCATTATTTTCCAACTCGGATAAATTAGACAAAGCTGCTTCTGGCTGTATTTGTTTTACCTCTTTTTTTTTCTGAAAAACTGGGCCTAAACACAGATACAATGCATAAGTTTTTTCATTGGCTTTTTTGACAGTATTACTAGAACTTAAAACTCCCATTTGATCTGGGAGATGAGTAAGCTCAGTTGAGCATCTGCAGTGAGTAACTTGACTTTGAAGAACTGCGATGACATACTAAACACTGCATTAAATAGTTTTAAAATTTGCCTAGCCTTCTACTACTAAGAAATTTTAATACTTCCTTTCACTGCATCTTACTAGATTCCTTTCACATATGTGTCTGTAAAACTATTTATTGCTTTGATGAGGAATAAATATTTAAGGTCACCATTATTAAATTTATGTAGTGTCCCATTCTAAATTGCTCCCTATCTAGAAAAATAAATCCTTTCCCTCTATACCCCCAACCAGTGGTTTGTTAAATATCAAGCAAATATATAACGTAACCTTGGGAAGAAAATGTGTGTTGTACTTGCCCTAGCGTAGATTAAACAGTGTAATAAAATTAGTCATGTTCTTTGCCAGAGACTTGCACAAGCAAAGCCTGTCCTTGTCAAAGACTTGACCAAGTCTTAGTAATATACTTGCAGAAATAACAGAGGCCACTGTTATTTCTTAAACAGTCAAACTATGACACTAAGTCATAGTTTGACTGTTTAAGTGCTAAGAAAGGAAATTCTCTCCGAGCTGATATCTCTTAAACTAGAATAAGTACTAGACCCAAGAGAATTTTGCTTCTGGACAGTCTCACTAGTTTCTGCATTAAAAATCTACTTTCTAATCTGTTTTAAGATTAGACCTCTTAATATTCATTCCCATAATTCTGATATTTTTGTGGTAATTGTATGTGTTATTTTTCTTTTTTTTTTTTAACCTTTTGGTTATCTTGCTTTGTTAAAAAATAAATGCAAATGGGACTCTGTTTCTGTTAAGTTGAACTTTATCAAACATTTGCAAATAAAGTTTGCTGTTGTGGGGTTTTTCTTGTTTGTTGGTCTGTTTTTTAACACATGGAAATCTGATCTAGTGTAAGGATTGGAAAATAGCCAAAAATATGAACAGTGGGGAACGAGTTTTTCCTTTTTTTCTTACATGTAGAAACTTTGAATTCTCTGTGACTAAAAAACTGTAATACTGAGAAAACTTCCATTTATACTGTCCTGAATTTTATGGATACATCATGATCAATTGTGATTAATACCTGATGTCAGTCATTAAGCAACAACTTTTATGTGCTCTAAGTCTATTTCTCCATTTCTTTACAAGGTGGATATGCAATGGGTGCAAGTGCTAGCGGAAGGCTGGGCAACACCCCTGAATGGCTTTATGAGAGAGAGAGAATACCTACAGTGCCTTCACTTTGACTGTCTCCTTGATGGTAGGGTAAAACTTGCCATTTGTAAAACTGAGCAAACTAAAATACTTCTAAAATATTGCCGATGCTTTGCTTCTTAGTGGTGGTGTGGTAGCACATTATTATGCTTGTGCACAACCTGGGGTAAGAGAATAGGATATTATAATCATCAGTTTTAAACTTCGTGGGTTTATTCTTTTTATGCCTACCATAGTGTTGCAGTTTGAATGTCTTGTCCTTTTGCCTTTACAAATCAGATTTTTCAAATGTTTTCATTTTTGAAAAACATTTAAACCTAAAATCCATGCTTCTATTTTGTTTTGAAGAAATTGATTTTAGAATTCAGAATTGCAATTTAATTGCTGTTTAGCTTTGTGCGCCAAAGGGTTTGTTCAATAATAGTAATCAAGGAAAGGACAACAAATTGACTTGAGTGCTGGAGCTATTGCAAGTATGAAATCAGAATTTGAGGAGGTAGCTTGAGTATGGACAATTGTCACATGTAATTGAATTACTATGACTTAGTAATTATCCTGTGATGATTTAAACAAATATATTTTATTTTGCATTGTCAATTGGCTAAGAGCAAGCGTTAGTTAAGGTAGTCAACAAGTGATAACATCCTCAGGTTTTGGAATTTGATTGTGATCCTTTGTCATTTCTCTTTGAAGGCTCTGTTTTCCTGCAGCCTTTTAGGTTTTTTTGCACCCTCTCTATCAAAGAGGGATAGTAAAAATTCCCGTCTCCCCACTTCCTTCTGCATTACTCTTCTCTTGCTGGAGACCAAATAGCAGGGGAAAAAAAAGTCACTTTTCTTTCATCTCTGTGATCCAGACATCCGTTGTCTCTCTCATATTTTCTAGTTCCCTTTTCTATAAGTCTATAAGGATACTATCTTAGGCAACGTAATGCCATCCTGTTATTTTGCAGTATCTAGGGTTTGCAGTATTGTTTTGGACTGCTAGTTTTGTTTCCATTTCATTTGCCTTCTGTGTGTCAGTCCAGGTGAAACGTACTCTGCAGATGGCATGCTATGCATTCAACTGCTAAAATAGCTTGTAGCTTCTTATTCTGCCCCATAGTCTTCTGTAAATCAGAATTTGTATACGGCTTTTAAGACCACATATAGGGGAGTGTTTCAGATATGGCAATATTACAAGTTTTTAACCTTCTCTTGCAGTTGTTTTTAGTACATCGCATATGCTGCAAAAAATGAGTAATGGAAAAAAAACCAACCAGTCATGTTCCTCTAGATGCTACCATATTTCCTCTTGGATATCTACTGCAACATTTATATATGAGAACCTTTTTAGAAAAATGTGATTGCCTTAAAGCTGCCTTGCTACTTGAAGCACTGGCAACAGTTAAATCAAAGCAACAACCTGAAAGTTTCCTCCCTGCTTGGTATGTTAGTTTTGGAGTCTCACAGCAGCAGTCATTTTCCAGGGTTTTGATTTTGAAGAGAGGGAAACGGTTTAATACCTGAAATGCTTCTCATCCTTTGGGCTCTAAATGCAATGTTCATATTGTCTGACTTCTACATTATGGAGATCAGTGCAGATGTGTTCATATTCTGACTTCAACGCTTGACTTATCTGAAAGAGTCTCAAGCTGACACTGTACTCATCTGTGACTTAACAAAACTCACTCTACTACGTTGCCTCAGTTTCTCGTGTACAGTGGCTGAAGACAGATGGCAAAGATATTATATATTTTTTGATGGTCACTGACGAAATTTTAATAATCAATGGGTTTGAGATCTCATCACAGTTTGAAATATTTATTTACTTGTTCACAAAGCAGAAGGATTTTTTTAATTATCAAATTAGGGATGGCAAATCACCTTCTCTGTGACTGTTGCCAAGCTCAATTTTATGACCTAGTTGCTTTGAAAACAACTCTGAGCACTAAGACTGAACATAAGAGAAGAAGCGCAGCATGCTTTTCATTTTGCATTATGAAGGAAAGGGGCACCTATTTTTCCTCTAAAACTTTTTATCCATCTTCATCATTTTTAACATCCTATCACACTTAAGGTAAAATTGAGAGAAGGTTATAAAAAATGTATTGCTCAAATAATGGTGAAATCAGCCTTACTTAGGGTCTTGGCCCCACTAAAGCCAACAGCAAAACCCCTATTGACTTCATGACTTTTCTCCTGGAGACCACCCAAAAGTTTTACACTCTTTTGGCAAGTGTATGCTCATTAGAATTCAAGCCTTTGTATGATTCTTACAGTATTTAATCCACTGGGTTTCTTAAGTCTTACTCTTGTGGTCAAGAAAAACAAGAATTCCAGGATCTAGCAGTGAAGTAAATGCTTAAAAATGAGAACCACGCATAACCTTAAAATTCAGATATACTGGTTTAGTTTTAGAAGTAAAGTAGTTGGTAAGCTTTCAGCTAAACAAACTGCAAAATGCCTGCCTAACTCAACATTTTTTTCTGAAATATATATGCTTGAATCTGAATACTGTTGTAAGTAAACAGCAAAAGTCACCTTTTGAAATAGTTGAATTATATATGCTAACTGCCTGTGTACATTTGGCTGCTTTTATTGCATTGAACTTTTCTTGTGGTCTGAGATTCCATAAGGCTACTGAGAATGCTATTTCTTTTTTACTCACTATCCTCTCCAATAGCAGTCTTGCCAAATATTTTAGATGATCTGTTTAAAAACATCAGTTGTGTGTTTCTGCTTACTATATAGCTTCTTGAACAAGATATTCATTTGCGATACCAAAAATGTAGTATCCTCACAGTCTGAATACTTGTGTGCAGGTATAAGTACTTGCTATTTTCAGTAGTCTTTGCTTTTCCTCAAATCTCAGTGCTTGCACATTTTTATGTATCTTATGCAAGAGTTCATTCTAAAAGCTGCTTTTAACCCCTGTTAAAATAAGTACTTGAACTACTGTTGTGTGATACACTTATAGCCTGGACTGTAACTTGTTAGGGAGGGTAGATTTTCATAAATGATCATAATGGTCATTCATGACCATTACTAAGGATAAGGGCTCTTTTTTTCTTTGTTCTGCAGGGGGAGTTATTAATCTGTCAGTGCCTATAGTGCTAACGGCTACCCAAGAAGACAAAGAAAGACTGGATGGGTGTACAGCAATTGCATTGGTGTACGAAGGTCGCCGTGTGGCCATTCTCCGTAATCCTGAATTTTATGAGCACAGGAAAGAGGAACGCTGTGCTAGGCAATGGGGAACAACATGCAAAGAACATCCCTATATCAAGGTGTGTGTTTAAAAGTTAAAAATCTAGTCCTATTAGCTGTATTGTTTGTGGTGCTGCAAATTAAGTGAAGCTGATGTCTGGTGTATTTTGACAGTAAAACTACTTTGAGAGCTAATTAAACATTTAAGCAGAAACAAAGGTGATTTTTTTTTTTTTTTTGTTCTATGCAGCAGTTGAATAGTCTGCACTTAGTGTGAAAATCTAATGTCAATATGTACACATGAAATGAATTTAGAATGTGCTGTAGAATCTGTGCCACAGAAGAGGAAACTTTGCCCTCTAGTGTGCTTAGGAAGCACATCCCTCTGTGTAGCCAGATGGATCATCAAAGCTCCTTAATCAGCGGATATAGGCATTGTGAAGGGAAGAAAACTTCAATTCTTTCTGCATGTGGAGCATGTGAAAACTGCCTGGTTTAGATGCTTTTGAAATAGGCCCCATTCTTGGTGGCTTCATCATTTAACTCTCTGGGGAGTTATTTCCCATCCACTGTGTTCAGTATGTTTTATTTTCTTGACCTTCTGTGTATGTCATACTGAAATACTCTAATTGTAATATACTCATCGCAATGCTGTGTTTGGTTTTTCAAGCTGATGTAAATGTTGCGTCTTATCTCTGCAAAGCCAAAATATGTTTCTTTCCCTGTTTGTCTCTATAGTATCTTTTTGTTTACAGCTATACCTTAAAATCCGATAAAAAGAAAACAAACAAACCTCAAATTATGAGCTTGCTCTTAAAAAGGGAAAACCTTTGATGCGTTCTAAAAGTATATGTATGACTAACAGCTATACATATGTGAAAACTATGGATTTTTTGACTTGTTATTTTATTAATGTATAATCAATTTTTTTATTCATGTGTTATGTCATCCTTTTACTGACTGAAGTTGTATTCAGGAGTATATCTGAAAAAGGGTATCTCCTGCTAGATATAAGTAAGAGTATTCTGGAAGATTTTCAAAGTTCATATGGTAGCATATGAATGTGTGCATAATAGTATCATGACAGGACATGAATCTGGTGGCTTTTCTAAATCAATCAGAAATCTTTGAGTGCCTGAGTGTTACTGTAGTGCAGTGTTCTCATCTTCATATCTCTATCACACCTTCCCCCCACCTTGGTAAGATGTCAAAAGTCTGGCATTTTCTTTGTGAGGGGGATGGCATCATTCAATTCCAGCAGGCTGTGTTATCTCACAAATAAATTGAAAAATCCACACTTAGTTTGTGGGTTTAGTATGTAATGTCTTATGTTATATCAACATTTGTTGTCATCTCTAAATTACATAAGGCTTAAAAATTATCAGAAATGCGTATGAAACTTGGAAGTTTTTTGTGGTTCCATCTTCAAAATCAAATGCATTCTTGGAAATTAACAATTTCTGAGTGATTTCTGTAGTTGTTGCTAGAGTATCTTTAGCAGCTTGCCATAATTATTTTTTAATAAAGGGTGAGGTGATATTTGAAAATATTAAAAGAATTCTAGTGAGTGTACAATGTATGTTACCTTGGTAAAGTGCTGGTGTGAAATGAATCCAAAAGCTATCCTACTTCAATGACTCTAATTTTACTCGTAAATTAAAGCGGAGGAGTAGTTAATCAAAACTGTTTTTATTTGTTACTCTGTTGCTGACCAGAATCTTGTAAACTGCAGGTTGATACTGGAACTGCATTGCTTTGACCAACAGCTATAAAGAGTGCACCTTCCTTGTACTTAATATATTAGGCTTTCCAGCCACTATCTCTTTTTGTCATGTAATGATATTGTTTAAGAATACTGGCTACTTGCATTTCTATATGTTGAAAAAAGCCTTTATTTTGAAAGAAAGGCATATGCTTACTGAAGACTTGTGCATCTTTCCTGCACATATCTGGACTATATTCCAGTCATGTTTTTTTTTTTTATTTTTTTATTTTTTAAACATTGATGCTTGACTTGAGACTATCGAATAAAATAAACCCAGAACTCTTCCCTTGGTAAAGATGTGTCCCCATTGCAATGCTCTAGACGCTCAGGAGAAGCTCACCACTAATTCTAACAAGGATTTTCCTTTCTACTCTTAGATGGTTATGGAGCAAGGGAACTGGCTTGTAGGTGGAGATCTACAGGTCCTAGATCGTATTTATTGGAATGATGGACTTGATCAATACCGTCTCACTCCAGCTGAACTAAGGCAGAAATTCAAGGAAATGAATGCTGGTGAGTAAATGTTTCTTGTTCTGTTTCTTCCTGCAAAGATTTATGCAAAAGCCTGCTGTCTCAGTACCACAGGGGCTAGTGTTGTTTCAGTGCTCTCTTAGGTGGCATTCTTTGCCTTTTACTGATATTAATTTTTAAGATCTCAGGCATTGCATTGCCTAAATACACAAGAGAAGCTGGTAGTGCCTGAGGTTCTGAATTTTATCTTTCCATGCACACTAGATATGTTACTAATGAAAGAAGAGATAATACAAATTTGGTAGAATGTGATTTAAAAATTATCAGGTTCGGCTAAAACCTAAGAGGTAAGGTTGAGTGCTGAAAGCTCTTCTATTTTTTTATTCTGTTCCATGCTGCTACTGGGAAGCAAAGCTTATGACAGTAATGCAAGTAGATTGGTGCAAAATGAGATGTGTCACAGTTAAAAATTGTGAACTAACTGCTAGCTTTATATTGCAGAAGAAACAAAACAGTTTTTCTCAGTAAAGCAGTTGTGTTAGGCAAATAAATAAGAGGCTGAGTAATGTCTCAAAGCAGAGAAAAATCAAACATACTGCCTTGTGGCAGAGATTGGTAGGCATCTGCTAAGCACTTCTAAGTTTGAGGGAAGAGATTAACATCAAGAATGCAAACAGAGATTGGTCCTAAGCACCTGTCTTTTTTCAGCATGGTCAGTATTTCCAGGATCAACAAGTTTGAGATACCAGTCTTAGTTTAGCTAGCCCCTAAATAAATATATTTGATACCTGAAAAAGACCTGTTCTCTACATTTCATTGGTTCCTTATTGGGAAACTTCTCAATTGTGGTGATTTTGCTGTCTTGCAGCGTTCCTCGGTTCATCTTGATTTGCAGAAGGGAGAAATCCTGGTTCTGTCAGGGTTTTTTGTCAAAGGGTTTGTAATACTTTGGAATAGCAGTTAGCCTTGCTTTGTTCTTACTGTGCGTAAACTCTACTAAGCTGTTTAGTTGAAGAAAACTTATTAAGGCACATTAAATCCCCTTTTATTTGTTTTGTTGCAAACGTGTCCATTTGCTCTCCTGATAACACGTTGAACCTTTAAGACAGATAGCATAATTTGATTTCCTCTTAAATTTTAACATTATGGAATGTGCTCATGCAAGTGAAAAATCCAAAGAGAAGATTATAGCTGTTGGAGAAACTAGAGTAATTCTGTGGAAATCTCAAAAATGAAGGAAGACGATTTATGGGGTTTTTTTCGTATGTTTGGTTTTTATTAGTTTTGCTTATTTAGTATAATAATTTAATAATAATTCATAATCCTTTAATGACCTGTGACTACTGCTATTATGCTTGTTTAGTAGAGTTCAGAGGAAAGATTGTACTATTTGAAGATTTTTCTATAGTTGTACAACTCCTGGTAAAATAACTTGCTTTCCTTATATATTTTGTCTGGTTTGTTTCTTTTTTTCTCCATAGATGCTGTATTTGCATTCCAGTTACGCAACCCGGTGCACAATGGGCATGCTCTTTTAATGCAGGATACTCATAAACAGCTTTTGGAACGTGGCTATCGGCGCCCAGTTTTACTCTTGCATCCACTTGGAGGCTGGACAAAGGAGGATGATGTTCCTCTCATGTGGCGCATGAAGCAACATGCTGCAGTACTGGAGGAGGGAATCTTGAATCCAGAAACTACAGTGGTGGCTATATTCCCTTCCCCCATGATGTATGCTGGACCAACTGAGGTAAATACATTAAAAGTTTAAAACAAAACACTGAAGTATTTCATGCTATGCTTGATGTTTGTGTGTTGTGGGTTTTTTTGATGGAGCGAGGAGACTAATTTTCCTTGTGAAACCAGACCGTAAAGACTCCCTCTGTCATCAACCAAAACATTCTTCTATGAAGAAAATTCTGTATTGGACGATTTTGCTGGAAATGGTGGGAGACAATGTTGGGTTTATGGGCTCCTTTCTTTACAGTTATAAGAGTATTATAATGAATTAATTTTTCCTCCTTTTTTATGGTATTTTTTGGAAGGAATTATGAGCTTTGTTAACATACCAAATATTGTCCTGAATGTTAAGATACTTAAGTTTTATGACTGTTAAGCAAAAAGTTGGTATGTTGGAGGGCTATACATAATTAGAAAAAAGAGTCTTTGTTTACTTTTTTGGCAAACTTAATTCAGAGAGAATTGTTTCAAGGCTTTTGTATGAAATAATTCTTTGGCAACACTTTATTTAGAAGCCAGGTCTTGGGTTGGAATCCCTAGAGGTTTGTGGGAAGCAGCAGAGAGAATAAATGCTCTCATTTGAGGGCAATTCCTTTAGGGGATATTGGCTCTCCATCTCATTTCCCTGCCCCCCCCTCCCCCCCTTTCCCTCCACCATGCCGAGTCACAGGAAACTCTGTGGTAGCTTTTTGATAGATAGGAGATCTCACCAGTGGAATTAAATTTGACAGGTGTTGCTTATTTTCTGCTGGCCAGTTGACTGATCAAACAGAGCTTGCACTGCCTTTCAGTCCAGAGAAAAAACTGTAGTCCAGATCTAGTTGAGGCATGTAAGTGAGTTACTATAGGGAATCTTGTACTGTTCCCCATAGACCTTTTTTGAGAAATAACAGAAATCTTCTACTACAGTCTTGTATTCACGAGCATATGAGGAGGAACAAAATCCACAATCCTAATTCTGAACAGAATTAAGAGTTTTCTCCTAACTTATATGGCATTTCCAGTGACCTAAGAGTACAGCCTGACAATAATGTTTGTAGCCAAGTAATAAAAGAGACTCTTCCTTTAATCTTTTTCCATAGGCCATTTAAAAGACATTGGTACCAGATTTGTTTCTGTAGCACAAGTGCTTTACAGAACAACAAGCAGCTGTTACTACAGTTATCTACAGGATGGATGTGGCTTTCCTTCTGCAAAGATTTTAGTGGACGTGTTTCATAAGCATCAATTTTGCATTTTTAACATTCCTGTTAATTACCTTGGAAGAAAAAATCCAGTTCTATAAGGGAAAATTCTGTATCAAAATGCAATAAATTCACTAGCTTAGGAAAGTAAGTATGTTCTGAAGTAGTATGGAGGTATAGAAATGGGACAAGAGCTGCTAGTTTTATGTCTCAAACATGTGGCTTACATTGTTCTAAATTGTACTAGTCAAATAGCTTCAGTTATTCAAAATGGAGTTCTTGCTTGCTGTTACCTAAATGACAACATGAAGCTTAAATTTCCTAACTGTACTAGAATAGTTTCAGAAAATATGCTGCTAGCTGCTGTGGTATGGTGGAATTTCATGTGTGTGGCCCACTTTATGCTTGTAACTGTGGTGGGTTGACTCTGGCTGGATGCCAGGTGCCCACCAAAGCTGCTCTGTCACTCCCCCTCCTCAACTGGACAGGGAAGAGAAAATGTAATGAAAGGCTTATGGGTTGAGATAATGGCAAGGAGAGATCACTCAGCAATTACCGTCATGGGGAAGACTCTACCTCGTCTCCCCAGGTGGCACCGGGGGACAGAGAATGGGGGTTTCGGTCAGTTCATCACATGTTGTCTTTGCTCCTTCCTCGTCAGGGGGAGGGCTCCTCACACTCTTCCTCTGCTCCAGTGTGGGGTCCCTCCCATGGGAGTCAGCGCTCCATGAACTTCTCCAACACGAGTCCTTCATGAACTGCACCAGCGTGGGCCCTTTCAACAGCATGCAATCCTTGAGTAACAAACTGCTCCAGCGTGGGTCCTCCCCCGGTTCACAAGTCATAGAATAATAGAATGATTTAGGTTGGAAAGCACCTTGAAGATCATCGAGTTCCAACCCCCCTGCCT